TGATCTACATACAATTTAAAAGACAGAAATTGTCAAAACGGATTAGAAATCATAACCCAACCATATGCTGTCTACAAGAAATTCACTTCAATTATACTGATATAGGCAGCTTAAAAGCAAAAGCATGAAAAAAGATATATCATAAAAATATTAGTTAACACAAAGTAGAGGTGGCTATATTATACCCAATAAAGCAGATTTCAGAACAAATAAAATTACCAAAGACCAAGAGAAACATTATTTAATGATTAAAAGGGCCAATCAATCAAGAATAGCAATAAGCCTCAAATTGTCTAGAGCCAAAAACCAACTGATCGATCAATCTTAACCTGAAGCTAAATCTCACACCTGTTTCAAAAATTAACTCAAAACTGATCATGGACTTAAATAAAAAATGAAAAATTACTGTGGTTTTATTTTTTTATTTTTTATTTTTTTAAAGATTTTATTTATTTTTTATTTGTTAGAGCGAGAATGAGAGAGAGAGAGAGTGAGAGAGCACATGAGAGGGCGGAAGATCAGCGGGAGAAGCAGACTCCACGCTGAGCAGGGAGCCCGATGTGGGACTCGATTCCGGGACTCCAGGATCATGACCTGACCCGAAGGCTGTCGCTTAACCAACTGAGCTACCCAGGTGCCCATTACTGAGGTTTTAAATATTGAACTAGGAGAAAATCTAAGGGTAAGCAGAGAGCTCAGTCCTGACACCAAAAGTAGTATCCACTAAAGGAATATTTGACAAATTGGACTGCATCAAAATTTAACATTTTCGTCTTCAAAAGATGCTATAACAGGATGGAAAGACAAGTTACAGAGTGGGAGAAAATATTTATAAGCTACATATATATTAACATACTTGTATCTAGAATATATAAAGAATCCTCAACACCCAATTATAAAAATCAATTCAATTTGAATATGAGCAAAAGAAAATATTCTACCAAAGAGGATAAACAGATGGCAAATTAGCACAGGAAGAGATGTTATATATCATTAACCATTTGGGAAATGAAAATTAGGACCGCAATGAGATAGAACTATACACCAGTCTGTATGGTAAAAATAAAAATAAACAATCATACAAGTCGAATTTTGGTTGAGGATGTGGGGAAACTAGAAAACTCATTCTCTTGCCATTGGGAATGTAAAATGATACAATCCTTCCCCCCAAACGGTAAGTTTTGTTTGTTTATTTGTCTGTTTATTAAACTAAACATGCACTTACCATATAGCACAGCAATTGTACTCCCAGGCATTTATCTGAGAGAAATGGATATGTGCACACAAAAACCCACTCATGAATGTTTGTAGGAGTTTTACAAAAATAGCAAAACTTGAAAATAATTCAGATTTTTTTAATGAATGAATGGCTAAATGAACTGATATATCCATAGCATGGAATACTATTTAAAAATAAAAGGAATGAGCTATTGATACATGCAACAACCTCCCAGAATCTCCCGAGGATTATACTGAGTGAAAAAAAAAAAAAACATTGCAAAAAGTTTACATATCATATAATGCCATTTATATCATGCTTCTGAAATAACAAATTATAGAAATACAGAACAAACCAGTAGTTGTTAGGAATGAAGCAGGAGAGTGTGCGAAGGGAAGTAGATGTGGCTATAAAAGGGCAAAATCATTGTGGTGATACAGTATCTTCACTCATCAAAGTCAATATCCTGATTGCAATATCCTTTAACCAGAGTTTAAGATGCCACTATTATAGGAATCTGTATAAAGGATACATAGTATCTCTCTGTATTATTTCTTACAACTACCTTACAATTCTATTTTTTTTTTAAATTGCAAGGAATGGAGGAAGGAAAGGAGAGAGGGAGCAAAAAAATGGTTACATACCTGAAAAACATTGACTTGGAGCATTTGGATTTTAGTATCTTAAAAGGCATTATTGTTATATTTCACATCCTATTTTTCATATTAACTCATTGAAATGCAGTGTGTATATTACATTTGTGACAGCTAACGATTTAGACCGGCAACACTTCAAGGGCTTAGTAAACATATGTAGCCAGAGGCTACTGTATTAGAATGTGTGGAAATAGATATTTTATGAATATTTATTGGACCTAAAAGATGGAGGGTGTGAGAGTGAGTGAAAGGAAAAGATGAAAGGAACAGAGAAAATATTTGTAGTGGAAGAGATGGTAGAGATAACAATTTAATACTGGCCATCTGATAATATTGATCAATAGAAAGTGTATGGCACACCTGATAAAGCAATATATTCAAAATATACAAGGAATTTATACAATTCAATGGTAAAAAAATTGATTTAAAAATGGGCAGAGGAACAAAATAGACATTTTTAAAGAAAAACATACAAACGGCTAACAGATTCATGAAAAAGTATTAAACATTACTAATCATCAGGGAAATGCAAATCAGAACCATGATGAGACATCATCTCATAACAGTTAGGATGACTATTGTCAAAAAGACAAGCTATAAGTGTTGCCAAGGGTGCAGCCAAAAGGAAGCCCTTGTGCACTGTTAATGGGAATGTGAATTGGTACAGCCAGTATGAAAAATAGTATGGAAGTCCCTCAAAAAAATTAAAAATAGGACCACTATATGATCCAGCAAATTCAGTTCTGGGTATATGTCCAAATGAAGTGAAATCTGGATATTGAAGAGATACCGATGCTCTCGCATTCATTGCAGTATTAATCACAATGGTCAAGATAGGGAAACAACCTAAGGATCTCTCTATGGATGAATGGACAAAGAAAATGTGGTATGTATCTACAATGGATATTATTTAGCCAGAAGAAAGAAAGAAATCTGCCATTTGTAGCAAGATGGGTAGACTTTAAGGACAGTATACTAAATTAAATAAGCCAGACAACCACTGTATCATCTCACCTATATGTATAATTAAAAAAAAAAAAAAAAGGAAAAAACAAAAAACAAAAACCAAACTCATAGAAACAGAGAGTAGAATGGTGGTTGCCCCGGGATGGAGAGTGAAGGGAATGGAGAGAGTGTTGATCAAAGAATACAATCTTCTAGTTATAATATGAGTAAGTTGTGGGGATCTAATGTACAGCATGGTGCTTATAATTGACAATACTGTATCATAGACTTGAAAGGTGTTAAAAGAGTAGATCTTAAGTGTTTTTATTACAAGAAAGAAATGATAATTGTGACATGACAGAGGTATTAACCAGCTCTACGGTGATCATCCTTCCACATTATATAAGTGTATCAAGTCAACACATTGGACACCTTAAACTTACATAATAGTATATGTCAGTTATATCTCAATAAAGCTGAAGGAAAAGAGAAAGTATAGGCTTTCAGGGACATAAGATGTGGGCATTAAGTCAATTGATTATGTGATTTTGAATACACATTTAGTTAATAAAGCAAATATCAACCTTTTAAATATTGTTTGAGAATTAGAGATAATACTTACAAAGAACCTAGCAAAATGTCTGCAATATAATGACCTCTAAATAAATTTTGGCTATTATTAGAAATTTTCCTAACTTTGACCAGGAGGCATCCATTCCTACTACATAAGGAAAAACACAAATTGTTCAGAAACACTAATCAAAAATTACATTTTCATATTTTATGTTACAAAATTTAAAAGGATACAATTCCGGAAGTTGAGAGTAGTTATCATGCTTGAAAAAATATTAAATAGAAACACTTAAAAATATGTTGGATTGATTTTTTTTTCCAAGTAAAGACAGAAAAATTCCAGAATGCGAAAAAATAAAATAACTAAATTGAAAAGAAACCATCCCAGAGTTTATTTGGACAATACTATATATCTTCCCACACACCAGAGGAAAGAAATGTATCTCCAAAGCTTTAGGAAAGAGTCAGGGGAGAAGATTGTTTATGCATAATGTTCCAAATTACCCTTTTTAAGTGAAGAACACTGAAAGTCATTTTTAGATACTGAATAATTTTACAAACATCATTATCCTTGTACATTTTCTAAATAATCTGTGCAACTTTGGTCCTCAAACCATATTTGATCATGTCCTATTCAAAAATAAAATTAAAATAAAATTGATTTCATGGCCCTATAAAATGTATTTACTTAAAATTACATATGCATATATTTTGCATAGATGCATATATATAGTGTACATACAGATTATACATGTTATAGATGCATATATACAATCATTATAGATTATGCATGTTATAAATCAGCAAAAATACAGTAAATAATCTAGATGAACAAATCTGATTATTGAAGGACATTTCCAGTTCCACTGTCACTGATCTCAGGTAAGTTAGTTCTTGTTTTCCCTAACCAAAATAAAACAATTGCATCTTCTGTCTTAAATAAATTCAGGAACATGGTATTGGTGGAATATTTTTCATTTTAGCTTGTGTTACATTCTTCCCAATTCTACCAATTCCTATCTTCATTTTATCACTTTGTTTGAAGGTATGTTTATACCTGGTGCCACCTTATGTTAGTCTAGACCTGATAATATATGTTAGTGGACAAGTTTTCCTATTGCTGTCCCTACCAAAACTTTTCATCTCCCCAGTTTGCAAACATGTAATCAGATCCCCACTACCCTTACTAAGCATATTTTTACTATATGTCTTTAATCAAAACTCAAGAAAACATTTACCACAAAATTTTTTCCAAAAATAATAATTTTCCTAAGTTTTTAATTTTTATTTCAGTATAGTTAACATAAAATGTTATATTAGTTTCAGGTGCACAATATAGTGATTTGATGATTCTGTACATTACTCAGTGCTCATTATGATAAGCATCCTCTTCAATCCCCATCACCCATTTCACCCATACCCCCACCCAGCTCCCCTCTGGTAACCATCAATTTACTCTCTATAGTTAAGAATCTGTTCTTTGGTTTGTCTTTCTCTCTCTTTTCCTGCCCTTTGCTTGTTTATCGCGTTTCTGAAAATCCACATAAGTGAAATCATATGGTATTTGTTTTTCTCTGACTGACCTATTCCACTTAGCATTATATTATAAAAATATGGAACACTTCATGAATTTTCATGTCATCCTTGTGCAAGGACCATGCTAATCGTCTCTATATCATTCTAATTTTAGTATATGTACTGCTGAAGCAAGCACTGTAATTGTTTTTTAAATAAACAAAAATACATGAATTCATGTGTAGTCCAAGTAAACAGTAATGAAAGATCATGTATCTACTTCATGTCTTTGTACATGTAGATTCATTCTTGTTCTATAAAGCTGTCCTTCTGGCTAACACATATCCAGAATCACTCATGTTCTGCAATGATTTCCCTATGGTTATTTATTTTTTGCAGTCAATTTACAATGAAGTAACTCCTCAGCACTTCCTTATATTAGAAATCTGAATCTTCTCGTGCTTTGAAAGCGCTTTCCTCCTACATGATGTAGCAGCTGTTTAGAGAGATTCTTAGACCGTGCTGCATCTTGGAGGAGAGAAGAATAATCCTGGGTACTGTTTTCTCAATTTTCCTGGCAATGAAGACGTGGACTTGGCCTCTGATATACTTGTATGCTTCTATTTCCCTTGCCATGATCTCTTCACCTGTCACAGGATCTCTGCCTCTGACATGCAGTATCTAGTGAGCGTCAGGTGCTGAGGAAACTCAGCATGTTTTCAATTTTGGCTGTCAGCAACCACATTAAGGAAAGAAAACAGTGACAGCACAGAAACAATCTGGCATTTTATTTGTCCTTTTTTCTTATGTTCTCGTATGAAGTCATTAAGTCTTTGTCAGGGAAAATGTCATCACTACTCACGCAAGAGGGCCATGTCAAAAGGGTGTGAACAGATTAAATAATTATTTCTGAGAAAAGGTGCATCACTGTCAAACATAATGTTAAAATTTAACTATGTGTTGCATATATTTAGTTGTGTCTGATGGTTAATATTTTTCTGTGGAAAAAACCATTTGTGAGAATGTTTCATTCCTTTATTTTCTGAAGACTGGCCATGTATCCTCTGCAGTTCCTCATTTAATATCACAGACTCAGAAGCTATGGTGTAAGGCAGACATGTACCCTATAGTCCCATTTGAACACTAATTCATTAGAGGCTTCCCTAAAGAGAATATAAGGCACTGAGTTGAATAGATTGATGAATGGAGAAGTGGGCTTTTCTCCTCCTGGATCATGTGGACACTCAGAGTGGTATTTCTACCCACTGACCCCACCACCACCGCACACGACACCCATATCGATTGAATGAGACCTGTGAATGAGAAAAACAATTTTATTTTATTTTGTTTTGTTTTTGAAATCTCAATTCTTTTTTTAATTAAGTTTTTTAATTTTAATTCCAGTATAGTTTACATACAGTGTTATATTAGTTGCGGGTGTACAATGTAATGATTCAACAATTCCATACATTACTCAGTGCTCACCATGATAACAATTTTAAGAAGAATATTGTTCACTAGGAAATTTACCTCACATCATGACAATGAGCTGTCTTTGAGATTTAATTTCATAACCCTCTTCTTGTCAAGCTTTAAATTGAAATTCTCAACCTACTTTTAAGGTGATTTCTTGTACCAATTGTGTATTCATAGAATTCAGAAGCATATATATGTGTATATATCTTTTAATATTTAAGTATAATAAAGTGTTTATCCATTCGTCTCTCTTTTAAGGGAACTATCAATATCCTGCCTGTAAAAAGGTTAATCTACTATGGTAAAATGATTGATCCCACGATATTGTCTACAAAATTAAATATATATCCCTTGTATTCTTCAGCAGAAACTATGATCCCAACAGTCTTCCCCATTTCTTCTTTCAATACTCTCCTATATTTCTAACATATCTACAAAGCTGGACTATTTGTTATTCCTTAAATGTGCCCTGTATTTTCGGGCGCCTGGTGGCTCAATTGGTTAAGCAACTGCCTTCGGCTCAGGTCATGATCCTGGAGTCCCTGGATGGAGTCATGCATCAGGCTCCCTGCTCAGCAGGGAGTCTGCTTCTTCCTCTGACCCTCCCCCCTCTCATGTGCTCTCTCTCTCTGTCTCATTCTCTCTGTCTCAAATAATTAAATAAAATCTTTAAAAAAAATGTGTCCTGTATTTTCAATGTCATTTAAAACTCCTTAGGTTCTTTACTCTGCCAACAGTGTGTTTCCTGTCTCCTTTATTTTCCTCAGTTCTGAAGCTTACTTAAAATATGTTTTCAAAATATCTTTGGGACAGATGATTTATGGAATCATGGCTTGGGGGAACTCTGTGGACCCTCACCCTGATGAAATAATAATAAGAGGTGAAAATTAGAAAAAAATAAATACATAAATGAGCAAAGGAACCGTTTAAAAATCTCTGTAAATTGGCCAAAGTGCATGCAACAAATGAAGAAGCATATATTGAAGAAAATCTACTAAATCTCATAAAACTTAGTCTATTGCATTTTAGTCATGTCCCCCACTCCCAACAGCAAGACAGAAACTACATTCTGAGTGGGTGAACAAGAATTTCTTCCCTAGATTCCAGTCTAGGGCAGCAGTGTCTCCCCAGGGGAGGCAAGGTACAGCATTTCTCATGTCTAAACTCATTGTTTCAGGGATTACCTTCCTCCATGCAGCCCTCACTCATAGGATAAAACTTCTATAGTAGACAGAGCAGTTCAAGAAAACAGAGACCCCAATCACCCTCCCTTCAGCTCACTTGTAGGGTGGAAGTTCCTTACCCAGAGAAGCAAGCCTCAAACAGAGAAAACTGCTCTTGACCAGCTTATTGTTCACAGAGAAAGGGCATCACTCTGAGAGGAGAGGGTCCCTGTCCCAGCACCCCACTCTGGAGTAGGAGCTCAGAGATTTTTCCCAGGGGGAAAGGCAGGCCATAACCAAAAAGATGTCTGAAGCTCTCCCCAAGTGCCCTGACTTTATTTGGGACAGTGTATTAGAGAAGTTCTACTGTAAGAATGCTCTCAAAGCAGTGGACATTTTTGTGGCAAGCAGTCGAGAGGCTGGTAGCTTCATGTTAGCAAAGCTAAAATGTTAGAAAAGCCCGCTAGTTTAGTAGGAAGAACCAGGGAGAAAAACAGCAAAAGCAGCCCTCCTGGATTCAGAGCAAGTCTTAAAGACTGCCCTCAGAAATCGTCAATTCTGCAAATATTGGTAATCAATAACTCATGTTAACATGACTTAGGGAAATAACTAAATATTTTCACCAATTTATTCATCATTTTCTGTATTTCCCTAAAACTATAATTACATAACTGCTGTTTCCTTACAATCTGTAGATCTTTAACTTAGAACAGACAATAAAATACAGATTTTATGTGTCCTAAAATAACCAACCGAAGAAAATACTTTCACAGTCACATTAGACATGAAAAAAATATATTAAAAAGTAGCTAGGCTATATGGGGAAAAGATTAGAAAAATTTTAAAAAACCATAAATCTGACATAAAAATTTGAAACATAGACATGAAATATGATAAAATAATTGAAGTTGCAAGAACATGTATGTTATATTTACCATGTGTAATTAAATTATATTTGTTTTTGAGTTATTTAAATGAAATAGGTGACTTACTATGTCTACTTTAAGGTTTATACATGGAATCATGACTTACAGAGTTTCCTGGTTTGTTTATATTTTTAACACTAAAGGAAATATTTTCCAGGAGAAGTGATGATAATCACATGGGTGTACTATATTAAGCAAGGCATTATATAATGGTTTTCATCTGACATAAAACATCTGGAGACACAAATCAGCAAAGTCTTCTGTTTCTTACTTTAGATAATTATATATAAATCTTCATTCATATAGCTTCTGCGTATTATGGGATAGAAAAAGTAAATCAAATTGTGTGGGGGAACAAGATGTGCATCTGGAAAAGAGATTATAAAATAAGAACAATTTAAGGACTCTGAAAATATTTAGGAATGCACTAGATATACCACTTTTTAAATTTAACAGTTCTTGTCAGTCATGAAGCAAGTTAAATATGAAAAAATGGCAATATATAGAATTATAACACAATGTCCCCAGGCACAGGGTAACTGGGTTTGTCGGGTCAGTGTCATAAACAGCTGGTACACCGATTCTCCACAACCTAGTGCCAAGCAGCCTGTACCTCTCCACAGGCAAGGGTTATCCTGTTAAAAGAAGGAGCCATAAAGAGAAAAGGGTCCCAGTACAGAAATTCAAAACTACACTGGCACAACAAAGACCTAAACGTATCATCCCTGTATTAGTTCTCTATACTGCACAGTTTCAGAAACCTAATGACTTAAAACAATACCCATGCATAATGTCATAATTTCCATTTGTCAAAGACTTAGCTGTATTTTCTGCTCAAGATCTTCCAAGTCTCCTGTCAAGATGTCAACTGGGCTGCCTTCTCATTTGGAGTCTTAGTCATGAAAAAATTCACTTCTAGTTTCTGTCAAGTTGTTGGCAGAATTCATTTCCTTGTGCTTCAACTCCTAAAGACAGGGGCCCTTCAGAGGCAGTTTACAGCATGCTGTTTGCTTCTTCAGGGCCAGTAAAAGCCCATGTCCTCTTGAAAGGGCTTTCACTAATTAAGTCAAGTCCACCACAAACTGCCTTTTGATTAATTCAAAATCAACTACTGAGGACCTTAACTGCATCTAAAAATCCTGTCATGTTTTTCATAGAACACAGAACCTAATCATTGGAGTAACATTTTATTATAATCCCAGACCCCACTCAAACTCAAAGGGATGGGATTATACAGAGTGTGAACATAAGCAGGCAAGAATCTTGTGGTTTATCTTAAAAGTCAGCCTACTTCTGTGCTTTTCTGTGGTATGATGGGCAGATTAGGAGCACCCATGTCTTCTCTTTTTTTGCTGACTTTTGGTTATTGTGGCTCCCTTCTGCAATAAAACCTATTTATTAGCTTAGTCATTGTGGAATTCAAACAGCATCCTGATTTATGCATGCCAAATAGAGAGCTGTATGGGCTCCATATTGTATGGCAAGTTGACAACTTGCCCAGCTGGATGATTTACAGTATCTTCCTATTTTGTTTAAAGAGGGGTGTGTGTGTGTGTGTGTGTGTGTGTGTGTGTGTGTGCATGCAAGTGTTTGTACTGAGAAAAATGTTTACAATATTTTTCTCAACTCAACTC